ATGAAGAACATGATTATTTTGTTTATTAAAGAAAAGAAAAAAAATCTTTTAAGAAAGGATTTATCTATTTATCTCTTTATTTATTTCCCCTTTAGGGAAGCCCTACATATTGGTGAGACGAATTTGCTTTTACACAAGTAGCATTTTTCTTGCAGGAGTTTCTTGAAATAAACATATTTTGCATGATGATCTAATTTTGTAATAGATTTAAGTATTTATCCCAACACAGTAAATTACATAAAAATATAAATATTTTTTATTTTCATATATATATATTTTTTTACTAATTAAGACTTTTTCTGCTTTATAAGAAGTTAGGTTTGGACTCAGGATCTGTCTCAGACTGCAGTGATAACACCTTCTCTCCTTGTCTCTATGGCAACAGCAGTAATAATTCGATGCAGCCACATCAAAGAGAATAAAGAAACACATCAGATATGCCCAGTTCTAGTAGCTTGCTGTTTTTTATCTCCTTGTGTTGACAAAAGGAGAAAGGAAGACATTTTTGATTAAAACAAAACGTGAAATTGTGCATAATTTGTCTCATACGTGTAACTTGTTTCTAACTTATCAGTAACATGTTGGTAGTTGTAAATGTACATCTAATGAATTTGTTCTCAGGATTTTTGCTAACATGCTTGGCAAATACACCAGGGCTATTCAACTAAATTTCTCCAGGGGCCACAGTTTCTGCAGGCCAACAGCTCAGGGGCCGAACATCCAGATATTTAAGTCATTATGTAAATAAACCAAGTATTACAAAGATCTGTTACCTTTGAAATAATTTATTTTGCTGCATTTAACCATGAATACAACATGCAGAACCCTGTAATAAAAGTAGTGATAATAAAACAATGTCAAAATCAAAAATAACACATTAAGCCTCCTATTTATAAAATACTATTTTGACACCTCTGACTTGCCAAATTTTTAAGCCAATTTTATTTTTACTTTCATGTTTCATGTTTTTCTTGTAATTTTAACTGTTTTGGATGTTCATAGAAATATTTTTTTACCAACTTCGAGACAAGATTCTGATGTTTTTGGAGATACCAAACATGCCTATGTCTAACTAAATGAACTTAGAGTAATTAAAGTAGAAAACCAGAGGTTTGGGCTTAAGAGATGAATGAACCAATGGGCGGGCCAAACTTTTGTCACTCGCGGGCCGGATGTGGCCCAYGGGCCGCCATTGAGCAGCCCTGAAATACACACATAATGAGGCAAACACCTTGTTTCCCACCTTTTAGCAGTTAGTGATAATAGCATTATGTTGCTTAAATGAAAATGTTAATTCAAAGTGTTCTCGTGATTTTTTTCATCACAAAGCTCCTGTCCAGAATGTATCAATAATACTTGTGGAGATATTTAAAGACATTAAAATTAGTTCTTGACATGTCCTTTTCTCTCTCTCAAAGGCTGTGTTGTGACTGTGACGGGGCGGCTCACATTTGTCAGCAACAAGTCCATGGAAATTGAAGTGTTGGTGGACGCCGCCTCACTGGTGGACAAGGAGAAAGGCAGATATCGTGCCGTCTCAGCGTTCTTCACCTTCATCTCCCTCGACAAGGACAATAAGCCTCTGACTGTCCCCCCTTTGAAGGTTGGTACCACCGATTAATCTAAAGAGGTCTGTCATTTTAATAAAACCTAATGGTAAAAATGATTTGTATATCTGGGACAAGTTTTTATGTCCTTCACTCACAATACTGACTTTATCCATTAACGTGTTGTACAGAATAAAGGGACGTGGATTTTAAGAATAAGGAAAACGTGCCTTGGAGTTTTATCAGGCTCCATCTCTCTCCACTAAGACATTGTTATGAAAAACTATTTTTAGCTTTATTAATAAAAGAGAGTTTCTTCCTTTTGTTATTTTTATTGTTTGTTGTACCGACTGGAAGCCACTTTTGTTCCCCAAAACACTCCTGGATGTCGGAGTTTGTATGACTCAGCATTTGCTGTTCTCAGTTGTGTAAAAAGTGCATGTTAACCAGCAGAGAGGTCAGAAATGCCTGCTGTTTGTTCTGGCTTTGCAACGCAYGCTGATCCAAACCCTGTTTATTATGCAAAAATTATGCACACAAGCCATCTGTTTAACTCTGAATTATTTCCTGGCGCCATTCACACACACCCCGACTGCCTCTGTGATGATCCTTAGAAATCCGGCCCAACTTTCCTGCGAGATGTGAATTCATGTTGTCAGCGCGTGAGATCTAAACAAGACAAGAGCCTTTGAGATCGCATTCATCTAATACATAAAAGAGTTAATAGAATGTAATTATATTATATTTCCAGTTAATGACATTTAATTAGCTTTTTTGAGTCTATATCATACAACAGTGACATGAGCTGACTGTGCAGCCTTGGAGAAATTTGAAAGTCCAACAGCAGGTCGTTACTCTCTCAAGTGAACACTTGAGCAGCATTTGCAGAGTAAGTACCTGAAGTAATCATGAAATTTTAAGTATGTGTGGCCCACTTCATAAGCGAGGGAGAYGCATTGAAAATGAAGGCAGAGCAGCAGGAATGGCAGCTTAATGCAAACCGCGAAGAACTGAGCAGATATCTGTGAATTGCCTCTTTTTAAAAATCTAAATAATGAAGAAATTACTACACAATGAAAGTACTTTATATTTCACTGTAAAGTATAAAAAAGAACAGTGGTGCACGACTCTCTGCCCTGTTGAATTTCATGTTAAAAAAGAAGTGCGTAATGAATTTCCAGGAAGAAAACCAGACTTAGCAGCGTATTTAGCATCAGTGCATCAAATGCATCTCGTGCGATTGGCCTTTTTAAAACCTCCTCCTGTTCCCTACAGTTTTATTTTGCAAAACCCATCTGTTTAATTTTACCCATTGTCTCCCCCTCTGGGCATTTATTACCTGGCATTACAGCAGCTGCATGCGTTTTGTAATTTCTTCTTACTTCCATTTAATGAAGGAAAACAAAATGGCTAAAAACAAAGAAATCTCCAGGTTGCTTTCAAATTTATTTTGACACTAAATAAAAATGGAGCCCTATTCCTGTGCTTTGATATTGCTCCTCGGCTAAACAAAGCAACAAACAGAAACGTTTCTGCATTTGAATGGAGAAACTGTTGGCTGGAGAGAGAACATATGATGACTGTTTTAGATGTGTGATATCGCACTTTCGTGTGGACAGATCACTGGGCACCAATTACATGAACGAGAGGAGGAACAGCGAGACTCGCTAGCTGCTATTTCTGGTTTTTCTATTCACCGTGAGCTTCAACATGCCACGGCTCAAAATGAGGGAACGCACGTGCATGCAAACTATTCACAGATGTCAAACCGGTTAGCATCTACATTTTCTCTAGCAGTGGACACACAAATAGACTTGTTTTTCTTACACTTTGCCAAAGATGTTTCATCAGCACCAGCTTCAGTCGATTGTCATTATAGGGGTCCCTGATTATTTGCAACATTAGACTTTATTTGATAAACWCATATGTTAACTGTAAAATAAAGACTGTAAAAATACTGTAGTCTGTTTAGTTTTGTAAATTTTTTTAAATATTTTAACACGGACGGAGCCATTTTATTTACACACAAAGCATTCTGGGTAAATGATGATGTGGATAGGTCCTCGGTGTGAGTGAGCTACATCCATCCTGAAGGTTAATCTTGGACAATATCTGACGATTGGCTCTTTTAAATGAAACCAGAGAGCGTTGACAGAGAGGAGAAGGTAGAAATGACTCAGCCTGTAACTGAAAATATGGATGGAGGACAACAGAGCTGCTTCATGGAAGAAGAACCTCATCTTAGCCTGTTAGTCTTTGCACTAGCGCCGACACTATATTGCCTTAAATGAATTAGCTCGGTGCCAGTGTGACAAACAAGCTAAACTGTTGTCCTCCATCTATATTTTCAGTTACAGGCTGAGTCATTTCTACCTTCTCCTCTCTGTCAACGCTCTCTGGTTTCATTTAAAAGAGCCAACCGTCAGATATTGTCCAAGATTAACCTTCAGGGTGGATGTAGCTCGCTAGTAGCCTCTCACCAAGGACCTATCCATGTCATAATTTACTTAGAATGCTTTGCGTATAAATAAAATGGCCTCGTTCGTGTAATATATTTTTAAACTTTTAGTTTAAAAATGATAAAAACTGAACATCCTACAGTATTTTTACAGTCTTTATTTTACAGTTAAAACATATGCTTATTAAATAAAGTCTAATATTACAACTAATCAGGGATCCCTTTAAGCTCGCATAAAGCAAAGAGCTGAAGCAACAGCATGTCTGTTAATAATATGCAGCCGGGCAACACCTCATGAAAGGATCAAATAATGGGAAGTGGAAACTTATTATGAATTTCCGCACCTGTTTTATCTCTCTGGCTCTCTCCACTTTATCCCTGCAGTTGGTGCAGAGGACCAATATTTACTTTATGTTTGCATTATATTGCATAGGGCTTCCTACTTTTTTTATTCATATATTCATAAAAAAATCCTATGTGTCTGTCACTGAATTCTGTTAAGTAGAAATAGAAACACCTGCTGAAAGCTTAAAATCAAACGCCCAACCTTTACTAATAAAATCTTCATGACTCGGTGACAGTTTGTGCCCCAGTTGTGTTTCTATAAATAGCTCGATCGAACAGACCTGCCTCTGCTATTTTTGACTTCAGGTGCTTTCCCCCCCCCACATTCTCTGATCCTTGATTTCACTCCAGTGGGCTCACAGCGTTTACTATCTTTAGATTTTCTTTTTTTAGCTCAGCAGGGGCGAGGCGCTCTGTGGGGGGCTTGTAGATGGACTAACAATAACGTTGGTAAAAGCTGAAGTAGGGCATGAGGACAGCGTGAGCAGGGAGGATACGAGGGAATGCCTTGCCAGAGGTAGCCTTGAAAATGACTGAAATGGTAAATGTAGATGTTGGATTATTGTGGAAATTATAATAAAAACGACACCACRGCACCTATAAACAGTAGTTTTTGTTGTATTTTTGTAATATTAGAAGCTGTTTTTAAACCCTCCCCTAGCAGTGGTTAAAGGAACCTGGTTAGAGTGCTGCTCGTTTATTAATCACTCTGTTCTTCCTCTTTCTTTTTTCAATTTAATAACATCCACTTCTTTCCTTTTCCTTCATTCTTCCTTCCAATCTCCTTGCCTTCTTGTTGGCAGAGACTCAACTGGTCTCCTCTGACACACACACACACACACACACACACACACACACACACACACACACACA